GGAGTTAATTGTGGACTTAGAAAACCAGTTTGTCACTGAGACTGAGGGCACGTGTGCCCCAGAGCCACCCAAGTTTAACTTATCCAGTAGTGAGGAAAGGGAGCATCTAGAAAAGGTAGGGGGAATCTAGAGGGAGTAAGGTGTGTCCAGAGGAGCTATGTGGGCAGGTGTGCTCAGGGAGTGGACTCTTCTCCCCACCCCAACCCTCCATCCCCATTTTCTCTCATGCACTTGGGATCAGAAAACCCTGTAGTGGAAACCATCCTTCTCTCTAGCTGGGTCCAAAGGTATGTACCAGTGGTTCACTGTTGAAGGTTTGCCCTCAGAATTCTGTACTAATTTCCCTTCCTGTGGGGCCCTGTTTTGATGATGAGTAATGTGGGTTGGTTCCCAGGTCACAAACCATGGGCGGGGAACAGAAGTGCTTTTGGAGGAGCCTTTGTCTCTGGAAACAGCACGAAAGTCACCGAGCTTCAAGCTGGAGCCAATGGAGACTGAGCGAAGCCCTGGTCCCAGGCTGCAGGAGCTGCTAGGCCCCAGCCCTAAAAGGGACCCCCAGGCTGTAAAGGAGAGGGGTGAGGAACAGTTATCTGGGTAGGTGGGAGGGAGGAGGGGCTTCGGGTTTGCCTTTGACAGCAGGATGAAGCACCTATGCCAGGGAGAGGGAATTTCTGGCTCAGGGTTCCCAGAATGGAGTGAAAGATCTAGAAGTGGTGGTTGGGTTCCTCTGGAAGTGGGAGGAGGAGGGAGATTTCTTTGCTCTTTTGTATGCAGAACAGAGACATTTAGAGCTAGATGAATGATTGAGGGCTTGAATGCTGCAGACAAACTAGTGATATTCCTTATTCCCACCCCTGCATTTAGGATGTCATTTTGGATGTAGCTTAATTGTGCTTGTCTTGCCTTCTTCTGTTCAGTGTTCAGTCCTCAGAGCAGACTGGGTGATGGGGAATGGATACTGTGTTATAATCCTTGGGTTGCCAAGAATTAGGAATGCCATTCTCATCATGATTTCTGTCACCTTCAGCATTATCTGCTCCCTGGCTTTCTCTCTTTCCTCCCGAAGGAAACATGGAAGACAAGATGACTGGGCCCCAGGTGATGTGGAAGTTCCCAATGTCTTCCCTCAGCACACACACACACATCCCCATACACACTGTGTTGCTCTTGTGGTGGTGGGGTCCTTTGGTCACTTGGAGAGGATCCTTTCTTCCTCACCAATGTGTCTCCCCGGCTTTCTTTATATGCCTCCATCTCACTTCACTCCTAGGCCTCACCTCACTCCCCATGAAATGTGTTCTGGGCACTCCTGGGTTTTGCCCCTTTAACCCTTGACTTTGCTTGAATTGTTCTTGGTGCCTCAGGGGCTAAAGGAGATCTTGTGCTGTTTCAGTTGCCTGAGAGCTTAGAGGACGTGGCTATGTACATCTCCCAGGAGGAGTGGGGGCATCAGGATCCTAGTAAGAGGGCCCTCTCCAGGGACACGGTGCAGGAGAGTTATGAGAATGTGGACTCACTGGGTAAGGACTTCTTTTCCAGGGATAAAGACTGAGTCATTTCTGACCAGGTTCCTATGTCTTAGCCACTCACCTCCCAGACATAAGTTCCTAATTTTTTCAAAAGGCCTCCCTTATTCTAAAACTAGAGGCCCGGTGCACGAATTCATGCACCAGTGGGTTCCCTCGGCCTGGCCTGCGGGATCAGGCCAAAACTGGCTCTCCGACATCCCCTGAGGGGTCCTGGATTGCGAGAGGGCGCAGGCCAGGCCGAGGGACCCCACCAATGCACGATTGGGGAAGGGACACGGGAGGTTGACCAGCAGGGGAGGGACCGTGGGAGGGCTCCAGGGCGAGTTCGTCCAGTCTCGCTCTGTCCCAATTGGGATCGGCTGGACCCCAGCAGCGAGCTAGCCTACCAGTTGGAGCATCTGCCCCCTAGTGGTCAGTACATCATAGCAAGCAGTTGAGTGGCCTTAGCATATCATTAGCATATTACGCTTTGATTGGTTGAACGGACGTGGCACATTTGGCACACTTAAAAGGCCCCAGCTGCCAGAGCTGAAGGCAAGGAGTCAGAGCTATAATAGTCTTCCCAAGGCAGAACAAATAGAACAAAATCAAATCCAGTGACTGACCCCCTTCCAAGCATGACACATTCTCAATGTCCTAGGATGCTGTGGAACTATAAAGTTCTTGATGACTTGCAATTTTGAAATGCTTACTCTTCTGATCTCACTTGTGTTTTCTATACTTCATTAGTATTTCTAGGCCCTTCCCTAAAGACACAAATTTCAGGGGCAGTGGCACCAGAATTCCAGCTTAGCAGCTCTCCCAGCCCTTAAAAATTCAGGAAGTAGGGAGGACCTTATGGAAATTTGGAAATGATATATATTCAAAACTGGAGCTAAATGAATCAAGTGTAAATTAAGGTGCACCTGTGTGTTGACCTATTATGCAAAGATTTTAAATGATGCCTATGAAATATGACCAAAAAAACCCAACAGTTTTTTAGGTGGAGAGTGCACAAAAACTCAGGATTTAGGTGACGAATGTACAGGTATTGTTTAATTCCTTCAACTTTTAAGTATGTATGAAATTCTCATAATAAAAGTTGAGGGAAGTCTTTAAAAC